TGATAATCAGTGATGCCTGTGCAACTGCCTCAGTGGTCCAGTTAGAATAATACAGGCAGATGGAGATAGAGAGGTGCTGTTTATCTGCTTGTATCCGATTGTACATCTGGAGGCTTAATGCAGAAGTGATTGGTGAGCTCAGGTATGACACCAACCTGTTTGACTCTTCCACTGGTGAAGCATGGAGACACAGTGCTCCGAATTCTTTTCCACCTTTCATCTTTAACTACTGAAACTGCATCCTCCATAGGTCCGGACACTACAGTGTTGTCCTGTGAACACAAGATTTAAGAACTATTACAATGAATGTTTAGATTCTTGTACAGAAGTTAAACAGTTTGCTTCCTCAACATTTCTCCTTCTCAGACCATACAACTTGCTTCTTGCTGCCTTGAAAACATGACTCTGATAACCACATTATTAACTGATACCGTTTACCCTGAGGAGTACAGGCAGAAATGACATGAGATGCATTTAATATGTAATAATGGTTTGTATCACCTGCAATGTGTTCTTAAGCTTAGCTGGTGTAAATGCCAACCATAAATCTCTGACTCTGTGTAGATTACAGTATATTAGTGCATATTGTTTTTTATTTGTTTATTGGTTCAGTAAACTGGGTCTAAGGTGTGAACTCAATGAATTACTCACTGGCTGATAGTGAGGCATAATGTGATTTATTTAACCATATCAGTCTTGAACATTAGCTTTCCACTTCCACTGTTATTGTTGCATCACTGCAAAAGGTCAGAGTGCTGCCTGGGAATACCCAGAGTTACATAATTCGACAGAAAGTGAACATAGTCACATAACTTTGTAGAAATGTGATTACAAATGTTGCTGTGTGACTGAATTTACTAACACAAGTGTATGTTAACCTGCAGTAAGATGGGTCTCTTACCCTGCGGTTGGTAAACACAGAGTAGCACTCCTTCACCATCACAGTTTTAATAATCTCAGGGTCTGCCACCATTAAAATTGGTGAACGTGCATCATACAACCTGCATAAAAGCAGCACAGTATAAAATATGAGTTGTGGATTAATGAATATATTATATTCATGTCAGCTCAAAGAAGGAATTAAATATATATTCTATATGTTCTATATGTATGTCTGGAAAAAATGACAATGTGTGGAAAAATATCATTTCACAATAAACAGTAGGTATTGTTATAATTATGTGTATTAGTCAATGTCAGTCATATAGAGGGGATACCCATCTTTATATCCTACTTGTCCAGATCACGTTTTATAACAGATTTTTCATTAAAATAAAAAGATATTTTAATGCTTCGTAAGTCAGGTGGTAAGTTAAACAGGTACAAAAGTAACTTTAAGCCTGTTTTAAGAAATTATTCTTGAAGTACTTCAAGTATACAGTACAGTGTACCATTGAATGGTGGGAACTAATACAATTGAACTTCCACTTTTTCCCTCTTCCTTCCTCCTTCATTAATTGTCTCATGACCCCTCAGATTTATCTTGTGACTCCTGTAGGTTGTACTGGTATTTATCTTAGGAAAATGATCTGAGTACATCTCCCACCACTGATGTCATATGTAGGATTTGCCTTGAAGATGAAGGAACAACTCACCCCCAAACATCCCCGTACTTGGCTTGGCACTCACGATCGAAAGAAAGGATTCCCTAGAAGAAATGTCAATGAGTTAAAGGGCCACAGCATCAGTCAGGTACAAGATTATGTTTAGTAAAAGAAATAAAAAAAAAACTATGACCTGCATGTCTAACTCTCAGTATTGCTATCAGTCATTGTATTTGTTTATGTGCTAGTTACCTTCTTCAAGTAATGCATTGTTCCAATGAAAGGCAGAGGCCTTGGTCCTGGAATTCCCAGCTTTCTGAAAAACCTGTATGGCCAAACGCCATCCCTATGTAATAAAAAGAAAAAGTTATACAAGGTCAATATTACAACGACTTAACACAGCCGTCATTGTAGGAGCACAAAAACGGCAAAGCTGATGAGCTACTAGTAGGCCAACACTGACAGCTACAGAAACTTATGAAGAAACTACTCACAGCAATAACAGGGTGAAAACCAGAGCCAGCAAAGTCCAGGTGGTTGCTGAAAACAGCGTAAACACAAACATCATGACTTCGTTGCAGTAAGAGCCTGACACGAGCTACAGGAGAAATAAGGAAAAGCACTGGGAACAAGTCAGCTTTATTTGAACTGTTGTGGGAGGAGTTCAGAGACTGCATCTCCATAAAAGGAAGAGATTATGTTGTGATACCTGTACTGTGATGTCCTGTACCATCTCAACCATTTACACTATGACTGGGACAGCGCCTAGCAGGAAGGACACAAAGTACTCATGTTGCACTTAACTTTGTATTGTATGGATTCGTTGAACTTATGTTAAAATTAAAATACTTCATATGTGTATTACAGTTGTATGTAGATAAAATTTGAAATTGTGAATAGTTTTGAACATTTTTGAGCCTCCCTCTGCACCGTAGATAACCCGGAAATACGATGAAAGATGTTATCGGTGTCTCACGTTGCTACAGTTTGATTTTCTTCTTTTTAAACTAGACTTTCTTCATCTTGTCGAAGTAAGGTGATTTGTACTTCCCTTGTTAAAAAGTTAGGTAAGTAGCAAATAGGTGGCTTAAAAATTATTTCTGTGAAAGTATACAATGATGTCCTATCCAAGACGCCCTTGGTTTGTAATGTTAGGCTAATGCTAAGTTAGCTTCACATTGTACGTCAATACGCCTAACGTTTATGTTAGCAAATATGAATTAGCCTTTTGAACACAACACGGTCACTACTTGGTACCTTATTAATTTTTTTATTCTGGGTGTGGCGGGACCTCACTAAGTAAAAGATAGACTGTTGACATTGAAGGATAGTGAATTCAGGGGTATGTTAATGTTCATTACCGTGAGCACTGATCTTTTTATTTATGTGCCTTTTCAGAGATAATTTGTCACCATGTTCCTCACCCTGAGCCTGCTGCGGAAAGGTATCCCTGGCAAGCAGTGGATTGGAAAGTATCGACGTCCACGACAGGTTACATGGCAGATGAAACGCAATATGTTGAAGCAGCTGGAGCGCGAAGCGGCGAACGAATACTGGATCAGCCGACCGTACCTGAGTCCGGAGCAGGAGTACCGGCACGCAGCAGAACGCAGAGCGCAGAACTGGCTCAAGATCAAGGAGACCAAATTCGCCAATTTCCCTGAACACAAGAACATAACAGATCACTTGAGTCATCTCAATGTCACCAAAACATGGTCGAGCTAATGTGAGCAATAAGACGACATGCAAAGACTGTCTTTATAGTGTGACAATTTAACATGATTATATGTGCAAGAGAAATCTCTGTTTTATGTGCTGTTGTGAAGCAGGACGTCTCCACAGTAGATTCCACCTCTAAGTTCAAATCTGTAAACTCTTGTTGGATTTGTATCACAGAAACAGAATCCACACTGCAACTGGACTGTAGTTTCTGCAGATTTTTATCTTTCACATAAAACTGCTTAACACTCTATACCTGATCTGTGGGTACTTATTTTAGAGCTCATTAACAAAATACACTTTCAAGCTGAGAGAACCAGGCTTCCCACTAATTATAAAACCTCACTGTAATTATATGAAGTGCTGTGGTGTAGTCCACACACTCCTGGGGGCAATTTAGAGTCACCAGTCAACCTAAGTTGCATGTCTTTGGATTATGGTAGGAAGCTGGAGCACCCAGAGAAAACATGCAAACTCCACACACAAAGACACTGGGTGAGCCAGGGCTCGAAACCAGAACCTTCTTGCTACGAGGTGACAGCACTAAAGGCTGTCATGATGCTGCCCCATTTCACATATGAAAGGGTTTTAATTGTCAGTAAGTCCAAATGTAGCTGAAATTAGACAGTTACATCAATTTTCAAGCATTGAAGTTTGGAAAAGCCCAGGAAGGCATTTTTTTAAGGTTCATGGAAATGCTCTCCATCCCTTCATGAAATTAACATTTTGTGCTTTAGTGTGGACCCTTGACATTCACTTATATCTGCTGTGGTTTGCTTTAGATACTGTACTGACATTACAATACCTGCTGTCACTCAGAGGCAAGATTACTGTGAATCTGAAGCTTTCTGGTGACTCAGTGTTGGACATAGTGCAGGAGTTTGACCTGCAATCAAACTTGTTTGTTTCTGTATGTGATCACATGCAAGATATTGTACTGCTAAATTGTCTGCTAACAGTTATTGGCATGACCAATACCATTACTTATCTACAGAATGAGGAAGCAGGTGATAATTATCAATCTGCATTTGGTCTTTATACCTTTCAAGGATGAATTGAAGGACGTTAAGCTATTAAGTGAGTGCACCATAAAAGGCAGACTCAACAATCATCAGACCTTAAATGGAGCCATGAACATGGGGCTTTCCTGTGTTTTACTGGCACCACCTCAACTCCTGGCCCTCTAATGCTAAAGTATATAGACATTTCATACTTTAGTCATAGCAGATATGGTGTTTTTATCAGTTGTCAAAAACTGTTTCACTATATTATCTTTCATTAAATTAAAGAGTTCAAAGTGTAATCAAAACATTTTTAAGAATTTATGTGGTGTGATTTATCCAGTATAGCACGACTCCTGCTATAAGTGGAAATACAACAGTATAGTTCAGCTTTTACCAAAGAAAAGGATCTATTCATCAGAACCAATGGCCCTGAAACTAGTTGTGTCCACCGAGGACAAGAAAAGTACACTTGTTTAAAAATGTAATGCTCAAATACAGATGAATGGAAGTGAGATGGATGCTGGCTTCTTTGTCCCTCTCCACTATTCCCAGCTTAAAGGCATGATGCATTAAGCAGTATTATGTCTCTGCTTTTGAACACAAAGTGAACAGTTTATACCGCTGAGTGAATACTGCCCCAGTGAACGCAGATATCAGGACACATTTAATATCAAGTGTGATTTTATGGGTTTTATTTAATCCAAACATGATTTTACACAGTCTAGATCAAGGAATGAATTTTCAAGCTCAGCGTGTTTAAATGCCCTATCTGCAGAGTTTCTGATTCATAATCAAAACTTGTGGGCTGCTGGGAGGAGATGGTGTGCACATTTTTTTTTTACCACAAATGGGCTGCTGTTCACCATTCTATATGACTCTATTCAGTTAATTGTTTCAGTCATTCTTTTTGCATGGATTTGCAGTTGCAACATTAGCTGTTTCCATCTTTGCCAATGGTGTTTGCCTTTGTCATATGATAGTAAAACTGAATAGGCCTGTTTGGTTGGATAAAACAGTACTGAGAAGATCTCAGTAGTGGGACTATTGCTGTGCAAAGGCTTCAAGAAATTGTGAAAATAGATTTTTGTGGTAAAATTGTAGGTTAATTCTAAATAAAATCAGCCTATATAGGGCTATACAAATATTATCTTAGTTGTTTGACTGATTATCATTTCTCATGCTTTTCCAGCTGTGTGTACTAGAGGGTGCATAAGCACATAGTCGTGTTTCCATTCAGTTTAAACGTTTAAGCCCAAGATTGTCATCCACTATACAGTAGGGTAGCTAATTATGTTAACTAATTAATTAATTATGTTCATTATCAATTAATATGCCAGTTATTTTCTTAATTAATAGATTAACTGTGATCCAAAATGCCTTCTTTGAATCAACAGCCAAAAACTGAAAGAAGTTTGTCATTGTTTAGTTTATCATGAAAGTCTAAGAAAACCAACAAATAGTAACATATGAGAAGCTGAAACTAGAGAGAGATGTTCTTGGCACGTTTGGATTAATTTTATCTCAATCAGTCAAATAGGGGAACTTGTTAAAGCTCGAACGTGTGGTTTTAGTGGGGCACAGAAGATCAATACTGGGGCACATGCCCCAATAAAAGGCTCAAATGACATCTATGACAGTGGCACTGCAAATTTATGTCCAGTGGCTCTCAGTGGATTTTATAAATGTGTTTTTATGGAAAATCAATCAATCTGAACTACCCAGGCTATATCTGTAGGATAATCTATGGAAGTAAAAGGTACCAAATCTGAACTGCAGTGGAGAGCCTATGGTAGCAGAAATAGAAATTACAAGTAAAGTGTTAACAGTACTGAGTGAATGTAGTTTTACCAATGGAGTGTGCGCCCTTGGCGTTGTTTTTCCTCTCCTGGATGATGAGGTGCGTAAAGAGGAGCCAACGCACCGCACTGGGCTGAGGACGCAGATAATAAGTAGATTAGATGTATAAGAAAACCACACAGCGCCTTAGAGCTGGAGAGACTATGAAGACAAACAGCAGCCTGAGGAGTATTCACCTACAGACGACTAAGTGAAGAGGCAGGATGGCGGGGGTCCGGAGGGGTCTTGTGGCCCCTCAGAATACTTTTCTGGAGAATATTGTGAGACGGTCGAACGGTAAGGATGAGAATGCTACACTGGCTGAAGATTTTAACAGTAAAACTAACCCCAGTCTGCCCTAGAAACCACACTAGGCGCAGTTATTGTCAACAGCCTGCCTCATCAAGCCAATTAACTACTTCTTTTTCCAAATATTGCAGCCTCTTTAAGACATTACATCAATTTAAACCAAATACTCTTTGTTCTCAAGCAAATTTTAGGATATTTTCAGTACGTCATTTTCGGTGTGGTGCTGCTAATACTTTTGCGGATTTCAACTATAGTGACTTTATTTTCTGGTCTTCTAACAAATAAGTGAAGCAGTGTTAAAATAAGACACTAAAATAATTCCATTTCTCATGTAACCAGCATTTTTATCTGATTTGGAATGAAAGATTCAGGTCAGTTATAAATGTCCATTTTAAATGTTACATTATAGTAAGTCTGAATAAAAGGTCAACTAATTTTAATGCACAGACTGAGACACACATACTTGTGCTGCTCACGTTGGCGCCTCCTGCTGGCTGTTTGTACTGTTAGTGCTTCAGCACACATACTGAGGTTTCCTAAACTCGCCTCTTAGTTTTATACTGTTATACGATCAGTTCAGTTTGTTGTCAGACACTAATTATCCACCAGCTACAGTGGATTGACCAACATTTATAGTTTTCTTAATGGACATATGCAGACAATTGTTACATTCAGATCATATCAGAAAATCAACATTACTGAGGCCAAAGATAACTTCACCAGTCTTGACTGTTTTTCTGTCAGCAGCTGTTGAATTAACACATTTAAAGTGAATAATTGGTCTTTGGGTAAGTTTGGTTCTTTTTAGCTTCAGCTGTTTTACACCAGAGACTTCAGTGGAACCAACCAGATTTGTACCTTATTGAACAGTTATTAAAGATGTGTGACTCCTTTTCTGTGTCAAGAGTGTTTGTTAGTAAGTGCATTTGTTCTGCTAGTGTACATGTACAAAATGTTTTGTGTAAAACAAAGATTTCCACAAATTAGCAGTTGTTCAGGTGTTTTAATAGTGTAAAAAACTGATTCGTGTTGATACTGCGGTGACTAGGACCTGATGTCAGCTAAATTCATTCAGACAAATCATTCCAATTACAATGATAATTTAATATTACAATAATTCAAGGCAGTTCAATAGTTTGGCAGACAATTCAACAGACTAAGAGATAGGGGACAGAGTCACCATTACTGCAGGTAATAAATGCAGTATTAGACAAGAAGATTGTCACAGAGTCAGTCAGTCAGTCTGTTTTAGGTCAAGTACAGGCACAGTGAAGTCCGTCACGTCCCCCCTGGCCGGGGTCTCACTTTCCGTCCTTCTGCAAGCACACCACCCTACACTACTCTACTGCAGCAGCATACTGCCTCCTTTTGTACACAGCTCACTTTTGGCTCCCCCGCCAAGTCACGAACCTAGTTAACAAGTCATCTCCAGATTGGATGATCCAATGGGTTAAACAAACAGGCCAAAAACCCAAAATGTTCTTGCTTCAGCACACACAAACTATTTATACAGTGAGCTGACATAGTACAAAGGGCTTGCAGAAGTTAGTTGTTGATTGACTACTGCATATAGTAACTACATTTAATCTACACACTCTCACTGTATTCTATTGGATTTTGCATATTAACTGTAGCTTCTCTGTTTTAACCACTACAATACCAAGTTGTCATCACCTAAATTTATTTTCTGAAGTCTAGTATTTGCTTATTTTAGTAGATTATAAATCTCATACATTTAAATATGTAAATAGAAGTTTTACGTCACAGTCTTGGACATAGACACATTGTAATAATGACTGGTGCAATGTCTGCCATAATACCAGACCTTTAAAGAGTTAGAAAGGCACATGTAATGCAACATGAGATAAAATAGTGTGGCTGTCTGGATCAATTTACTCTACATTGTCTGAAATACAAACATGAAATATCCCAGCAGCAGTTGGCACAGATTAAAACTAATTAGTTTGTTAACATTTGAGAAGCAAAATATATTTGGAGCTCTTCCCCTCATGAACTACTGTTGTCTAGGAACAAACTTGAGTTTTACAGGTTTAAGCGGTTGGAACTTCCAGTCAAGCTCCAAAGGAATCTAAAGGAAGAAATGAATGTAAAATCAGGGATTTGATAGGCAAGTGGTGTGGCAATGTGAGTGCATGTGACTCTATGAGATGCTGTGCATGGAGGGTTAGTCTGACCATGGTGTCTTTGCACGTTTCCACAGAGTAATTCTGCAGGAGACGAACAAGAACAATCTTCATGACGAGGACAGCGTAGCGCATCCCAACACAGTTACGAGGACCGAGCCCAAATGGCATGTACACGTAGGGGTTCACCTCCTCCCCACTGTCTTTACTGAACCTGCACATACAGATTCACAGTGTGTTTTTGTGTGAATCAGGTACAAATACAATGCTGACCAGTAGTTAAGGTGGAAGAAAACAAGACTTTCCTGTCACTTTTCCATTTTGCTCACAACAAACACCAAACCTGTGGCTTGGCTTAGTGTACATTTACCTCTCTGGTCTGAAAAGCTCAGGCGAGCTCCAAAAGCGTGGGTCCTTGTGTAACATGCCCACAGGAACCCCAATCAGGGTTCCTTTAGGAATGGTGAGGCCTTGGACCTGGACAGTTTTTTTGCACATCCTCTCAAGCCGAGGTGCCGTGGGAATCAAACGCATGGACTCATTAATAACCTGGTCCAGGTACTGCAGGCCAACCAGCTCCTCATATGAAACAGGAGACTAGAGGAAAAAAGAAAGTGCTAATACATTACATGATCACCGTTATATCGTTTTGACTGCAGACAGCGAGAAATGGCAGAGGTAGTGTACATCTCTTGGTAGGCTGGTATCAATTTCTTTCTGCAAGGTTTGCATCGCATCCGGATTGATGGCCAGGTTGTAAAGGATGTAAGTGAGAGTAACACTGGTGTTCTCGTAGCCACCCAAGATGAAAACGAAGGCCTGAGTCAGGATCTCATGTTCAGTCAAACCTAAAAGAAAATAGAGGGAATAATTTACAAACCCACTAAACTGTTTTACATTAAAAAAAATAAAAATCTTTGCTGGTGTCTATTACAGTATTTTATTCAAAGCTACTGTACTGTGGTGTTATTAGTGGCCATTACTGTGGATTCATTGACTTTTAATGTAAAAAGAAGAATTTGAAATGCAACTTTACAGACACACTCTTAATGACAGATTATAATCAAAGCCAACACCAAAATGATGAGTAGGGCTCCAACTAAGGATTGTTTTTGTTACTGTAACCGGCTGGTTGGCCAGGCCTACACCGCCTGGTGACTAATTTGCTGGAATGATCATGGATATAAATAACACCCGGTGAGATGCTGTTGCGACAAGCAATTTTTATGCTGGTCACTGCTGTAACTGTTTTGAAGTGGATCTCCCTCCATTGATCTGCGTCCTGCTTTCTCTGTAAGGTATGTCCAATGGACTGATTGTAGATCAGATCTGTTGCAGTGCAAAGTGCTTAATCAGGTTGTTTTGGTTGTAGACCGTTTCCAGGGGATTACCACATGCTCTCCAGGGGCGATAATTGATGCAAGCGTGATCCAGTAGAAGTTGGTGTCCATCGCACATGTTGTGCTAGGGTGACGTGCAGCCAAGGTAACCTGTAGTGCTGTTGGTTTTAATTATTAGGATATTTCTATGCTATTTATTAAAAGTGGCTTTACTTGTAGCAGGGGTGATAGCCACTGCTGCTTTGCTTACGTTCTGCCTTGCTTTGTTGTTTGTTCTGTTTTTATGTTAAGAGGTTTACCTAGCAATGTGTTCCCTATTTATTGTATTGTTCCCAAGTAGGGTTTAGCCAATTTTATGGTGTGCGAACAGTGCGTGAATGGTTTGATGCACAGGGAGGCAAGGCCCTCTTGTATTTGGTTTGTTGATGTGTGATTAATTGATTTGTGGTGTTCATTTAAATGGTGCCCTTTTCAACCTGTTGACTGACCATTTTATTCCTGTTATGCACTGTATTTATTGAGTGGGGAGAAACTTCTTCTAGTAAGAAGTGTTTTAGCTTTTGGAGCCAGGCCTTTTTAAATATTTTCACTTTTAAGTTATACACTGTCTCAAATAAAGTTTTATCTGTGTGGGGAAACCCCAATGTCTTTGTGTTTGCAGATTTATCTGGGGGTAGCAACTCAGTACTGGTGAAGTTTGCATGAATTTGACCTCTGAAAACAGGAGGGGTGTTATTCTTGAAACTACTAAAAATTATTAGGGTCTGGGTTGCATAGGCCTGTATATTGGCCCGGTCACATCACTTAATGTGACAGCTATTTTCTCAGTAAAGTGATTAGTTGTTTGCTCTATAAAATGTGAAGAACAATCTGAATGTACAGTGCTAATGAACAAAGGCATTGACTTGTAGTGTTACGGCAACTTTCATGAATTACTACTGTAGTGAAAACAAACCTTTACTTGGCTGCTCTTGCTCACTCTTTATCTCGGTTTCTGGTATCTCATTCTGAACCATCACCTGCAGGAAGTCCGCTCGACTCTAGATCAGCACAGGGAACACTGACACAAGCTGCACAAAATTCCTATGAAACGTGTGGGCTAAAATGTGGGTAATAATCATATCAATGAGAGAAAACAGCATAACAAAGTTAGCAAGTATTATGCTGCAAGAACAGCAGCTTCTTCCCTTGTGTCCAGTCTGTGCAATAAGCTAAGCTAACCGGCTGCTGTCTGTAGTTTCATATTTAAGGGACCGCTGTAAAAGTAGTATCCTTTCGCACAATGGTGAGCTATTCCTTTTATTCTCTGCTGTTTTTTCTTCCTCACTTGGTACAGATGACATGCTTACAGAGTCTTCTGCGCAGTGCTCGTCTTTAAATCTCTTGATGATGTTGTAATAATACTCCACTACAAGTAAAAGTCAGTCAGTTTCACCTGCGTCCTGCCTATCGCCATAGTTACTTTATTTTACCACTGGTAATGTTGATAATCAGTGATGCCTGTGCAACTGCCTCAGTGGTCCAGTTAGAATAATACAGGCAGATGGAGATAGAGAGGTGCTGTTTATCTGCTTGTATCCGATTGTACATCTGGAGGCTTAATGCAGAAGTGATTGGTGAGCTCAGGTATGACACCAACCTGTTTGACTCTTCCACTGGTGAAGCATGGAGACACAGTGCTCCGAATTCTTTTCCACCTTTCATCTTTAACTACTGAAACTGCATCCTCCATAGGTCCGGACACTACAGTGTTGTCCTGTGAACACAAGATTTAAGAACTATTACAATGAATGTTTAGATTCTTGTACAGAAGTTAAACAGTTTGCTTCCTCAACATTTCTCCTTCTCAGACCATACAACTTGCTTCTTGCTGCCTTGAAAACATGACTCTGATAACCACATTATTAACTGATACCGTTTACCCTGAGGAGTACAGGCAGAAATGACATGAGATGCATTTAATATGTAATAATGGTTTGTATCACCTGCAATGTGTTCTTAAGCTTAGCTGGTGTAAATGCCAACCATAAATCTCTGACTCTGTGTAGATTACAGTATATTAGTGCATATTGTTTTTTATTTGTTTATTGGTTCAGTAAACTGGGTCTAAGGTGTGAACTCAATGAATTACTCACTGGCTGATAGTGAGGCATAATGTGATTTATTTAACCATATCAGTCTTGAACATTAGCTTTCCACTTCCACTGTTATTGTTGCATCACTGCAAAAGGTCAGAGTGCTGCCTGGGAATACCCAGAGTTACATAATTCGACAGAAAGTGAACATAGTCACATAACTTTGTAGAAATGTGATTACAAATGTTGCTGTGTGACTGAATTTACTAACACAAGTGTATGTTAACCTGCAGTAAGATGGGTCTCTTACCCTGCGGTTGGTAAACACAGAGTAGCACTCCTTCACCATCACAGTTTTAATAATCTCAGGGTCTGCCACCATTAAAATTGGTGAACGTGCATCATACAACCTGCATAAAAGCAGCACAGTATAAAATATGAGTTGTGGATTAATGAATATATTATATTCATGTCAGCTCAAAGAAGGAATTAAATATATATTCTATATGTTCTATATGTATGTCTGGAAAAAATGACAATGTGTGGAAAAATATCATTTCACAATAAACAGTAGGTATTGTTATAATTATGTGTATTAGTCAATGTCAGTCATATAGAGGGGATACCCATCTTTATATCCTACTTGTCCAGATCACGTTTTATAACAGATTTTTCATTAAAATAAAAAGATATTTTAATGCTTCGTAAGTCAGGTGGTAAGTTAAACAGGTACAAAAGTAACTTTAAGCCTGTTTTAAGAAATTATTCTTGAAGTACTTCAAGTATACAGTACAGTGTACCATTGAATGGTGGGAACTAATACAATTGAACTTCCACTTTTTCCCTCTTCCTTCCTCCTTCATTAATTGTCTCATGACCCCTCAGATTTATCTTGTGACTCCTGTAGGTTGTACTGGTATTTATCTTAGGAAAATGATCTGAGTACATCTCCCACCACTGATGTCATATGTAGGATTTGCCTTGAAGATGAAGGAACAACTCACCCCCAAACATCCCCGTACTTGGCTTGGCACTCACGATCGAAAGAAAGGATTCCCTAGAAGAAATGTCAATGAGTTAAAGGGCCACAGCATCAGTCAGGTACAAGATTATGTTTAGTAAAAGAAATTAAAAAAAAACTATGACCTGCATGTCTAACTCTCAGTATTGCTATCAGTCATTGTATTTGTTTATGTGCTAGTTACCTTCTTCAAGTAATGCATTGTTCCAATGAAAGGCAGAGGCCTTGGTCCTGGAATTCCCAGCTTTCTGAAAAACCTATATGGCCAAACACCATACCTATGTAATAAAAAGAAAAAGTTATACAAGGTCAATATTACAACGACTTAACACAGCCGTCATTGTAGGAGCACAAAAACGGCAAAGCTGATGAGCTACTAGTAGGCCAACACTGACAGCTACAGAAACTGATGAAGAAACTACTCACAGCAATAACAGGGTGAAAACCAGAGCCAGCAAAGTCCAGGTGGTTGCTGAAAACAGCATAAATACAAATATCATGACTTTGTTGCAAGTAAGAGCCTGACACGAGCTACAGGAGAAATGAGGAAAAGCACTGGGAACAAGTCACCTTTATTCGAATTGTTGTGGGAGGAGTTCAGAGACTGCATCTCCATAAAAGGAAGAGATTATGTTGTGATACACACAGGATGAGAAGCGACTGGTCTATCTGGATCAGGCTTGGGCTTTGGTTTACGCACTGCAGGTGTATATAAACCTTTATTGCATCTTGTTCTTACATTGTGCAGACACCTGCAGGAAAAGTGTTCCGGAGGAACAGGCGTCATTTGCGTAAGATACACCCAAGTGTATAGAGAGACACTAATCCTGATGACCATTCAGAGGTAATGCTTTCTCAGATACCCAGGTCAGCCAACCCTGTGCCAGGAGACCCCCAGAGAGTACTGACAACGCTCCTACATGCCACACCTGAAGTGTCAGAGCGGTCAAACAACCTGCTAAATACAGAGACTATGTTATGGACTCTTGACTGTTTGTTGTAGTGCAGTGCTGCTTAGTGCAGCTACAGAGAGGGTTGAGGTGTGATGTACAAATAACAAAGAAAACAAAAAGAGCTAAGAGTTTTATTTTTAAGAGATGTCTTAGTGAACCTTAAGAAAGGTTGTTGTTAAGTATTAGTTACTCCAGAATTTAAAGCAACTTGTAGCAGCTGATCCATATTTCATGTCTCAGTCTAGAAAAGGGGGATGTGGTGGATTTCATCGAGCACTCGCTGCTCAACATTAACTGCTGCTGATTGGTTGCTCATGAGTTGATTGGTTAGGCCTGTGTTGTTATGTTCCTGAGTAATACAGTAAAGAGTTCACCGTCTGACGGCAAGCCTGGTCTCCGTATGTTATTACAGAACAGCGTTAATGAAGTGCTCACCCGACATTTGTAGCAATACATTACTGCAACAGTAAAGAACACAACATGGTGTCAGAAGAGTGGAGTTAACAGTAAAGAACACAACACCACCACTGTCATTACCGTGAGCACTGATCTTTTTA